CGATGCTCTCACGACGACAGGTGCGGTGGGTGGACTTCCTGGAAACTCATTTCCACTACAACATCGTCTACAAGCCCGGGCTACACAACAAGGCAGATGCGTTGAGCCGCCCCGGTCATCTAGCAGGCATCCAGCTCGACGGGATGAGCCCTCTGCTCAAGGGTCTATTCCAACATGGATACTCCGTGGACGCAGAGATCGCTACAGCACAGACTAAGCAGTTGTTATAGTGGGAGAAAGACTTAGCTGCAAGGAAGGGCACAGGAAAGATTTGGGTACCGAATTACACCCCGCTATGGCAGTTCCTATTGGAGGAGGTTCACGACGTACCATACGCGGGACATTTCGGGAGCAACAAGACGTTAGCGGGAATAGCAAAGTATTATTACTGGCCGGGGATGGCAGCAGACGTGCAGTAGTTAGTCACATCTTGCGACACGTGCCAGCGGATGAAGAGCAGCAAGCAGAAAAAGCAGGGTTACTTCAGCCTCTACCCGTACCGGAGCAGCCATGGCAGGTCGTTAGCCTCGACTTCATCACAGGACTTCCTTCAACCTCACGGGAGCACGATCCTATCCTCGTGGTGATCGACAAGTTCTCTAAAATGGGTCACTTCATCCCGACCAACGCCACAGCTACAGCTGAGGCAATTGCTCGACTCTTGTTCGAGCGCATCATCACCATCCACGGCATCCCCGCTACACTCATCTCAGACAGAGACCCCAAATTCACGAGTAAGTTCTGGAAGGAGCTCATGGGACTGTTGGGGACAAAGCTTGCAATGTCTTCAGCATACCACCCCCAGACTGACGGACGAACAGAGCAACTCAATCAGGTGGTTGAACAGTTACTGCGCACAGCTTGCAAGGACGACGTCAGCCATTGAGACACATAGCTACCGGCCCTAGAGTTCGCTTACAAAAACGCGTCACATGCGGCCACAGGGAAAACTCCTTTCTTCTTGTGCTACGGACGGGAACCACTCACACCCCAGCAGCCAACCACACCGGCACATGTCCGAGCCGCACTCGACTTCGTCACCACCATGCAGCAGCTATGGGAGAAGACTCAGCGACGTCTCACCACGATGCAGAACTCCTAGAAGCAGTATCCCGATCGCCAGCGACGTGATCACTCAGTAGCAGTCGGAGATCAGGTGCTTCTTGACACGCGCAACTTGAATCTGTCTCACCTACCCTCCAAGCTCCGGCCTCGCTTCTGTGGTCCTTTTCTCGTTGAGGCACATGTGACACCAGTTACATTCTGCTTGCGCTTACCTATTACTTGGAAGCTTGACAACACTTTCCATGTTCAGCTACTGAAGGCCTACAAGTACCCCAACCAACAGTTCCAGGGACGGCAGCTACCGCCACTACCACCTGTTCTCATACATGATGAACCAGAGAAGGAAGTGGAGCGCGTTCTCACTCATCGGCGCCGTTGCGGCAAGGCCCTCGAGTTCCTGACACGTTGGAAGGGATACGACCCCACTGAGGACAGTTGGGTTGCAGAAGCTTGTTGAAATGAACGAACCGGAATGGTTGAACTAACAGTGAAATCAGTACAAGTACCTAACCCTAGAATTGTGTACCCCCTATAGGCTAAACAAGCACAACATATATAATGTTTGACACACCCCCATAGGCGAAGTGGGGGAGAACTAGGGGTCACAAGACCAGTCAAGTAAAGCAAAGCAAAGCAAGCTCAGGGTGGATCACAAAGTCACCACACATTCCGAGCACAAGTTCAAGGCCACAAGGCCAGTTCACATGCAGGAGTACATATATATATATAAAAGGCTAGACAAGCAAGAGCAGGTATATATATATGTAACAGTACAAGCTAGGTCAAGAGGTGAGCAAGTGAGGCAAGACAGGCACAAGACCCAGCTGGGTGCAGAAGCGCTGATGATCACAAGGCGCAAGTGCCTTGGTGAAGACATCAGCAGTGTTGGCCTCAGAGGCCACGTACGCAAGCCGCAACTGACCACGCTGCTGTAGCTCACGAGCAAGGAAGTAGCGGAGAGCAATGTGCTTTGTTCTGTGCTCCAGTCTCTGCTCTCGACACAAGGCCAGCATGGCCTTGTTGTCTACGTACTGGAGGAGAACGAGGCGGCTCTCCAAGGTCAGTCAGCAGGTAGGTGAGCCAGCGAAGCTCCTGTGCAGCCATGGCCCCTGCGTAGATCTCAGCCTCACAACTGGAGCCGAGAACAGAAGACGAGCGAGTAGCCCGCCATGAAACAGAGTCGGAAACAAGGCTGAAGGTGTAACCCTGTGACGACCGCTGCGTAGCCTGGTCGTCAGCCCAAGAAGCGTCTGCGTGACCAGTGAGGACCACTGGACTCCGCCCTCCAAGCACTAGCCCCATGCATGACGTACTGCACAAGTAGCGCAACACCCTCTTCGCTGCAGCCATGTGCTCTGGTCGGTGTCTCCCAGGAGCAACATAGCGTGCGAGAATGCTAAGAGGATATGCAAGGTCAGGTTGTGTGCAGGTCATCACGTACATGAGGCAACCAACAAGCTCTGGGTACGGGCCACTCGACTCTACGGACTCATCCGAAGGCAGAGCTGAGAGCGAGTGGCGAGTAGGCAGAGGAGTGGCCTAAGGCGAGGAGTACGTGAAGCCGAAGCGCTGAAGGACCTGCTGCACCATGTGTGACTGAGTCAAGGTAATGGTGCGGCGTGCTCTGTCCCGGGTGATCTGCAAGCCAAGATAGCTGCGCAGTTCACCCAGGTCTGTGCACGTGTGTCTCTTCTGCAGCTCGGACTTCACGTGGGCGAGTCCAGCAGTGTCTGCTGTGGCAAAGACCAAGTCGTCGACGTACACGAGGATGTAGAACGGTGGCAGAGAAGTGTCGGTGCGTAGAAAAAGCGACGGGTCAGCAGTAGAGGGAGCAAACCCAAGAGCCGCAAGTGTAGTCCTCACTATGTCGTGCCACTCACGGGGTGCCTGGCGGAGACCGTAGACTGGCCGCCGGAGGCTCCACTGGGTGCCAGGAGGAAAAGTCCCAGTGAAGCCAAGTGGGCGGCGCAGCCAGATCTCCTCGTGCAGGCTGCCCTGCAGGAAGGCAGTGTTGAAGTCAAGAGAGTGTAGCTCGTAGTCACGGTGAGCAGCTACGTGCAGCAGTACCCGAAGAGTGGTCATCTTCGGGGTGGGAGAGAAGGTCTGAAAGTAGTCAACTCCCTGCCGCTGACTGAAGCCACGAGCCCCGTAACGTGCCTTGAAGACAGGCGGAGAACCCGTCGGCCGCTTCACCCTGAAAATCCACATGCCACTGACGATGTTCGCCCCAGGAGGGGGGACAGCGTCAACGTAGGTGCCTGTGGACTTCCAGGAAGCCATCTCTGCATCCATAGCTGCGTGCCACTGAGAAGAGTAGGGGCCCTCTATCGCCTCCGCGGAAGAGCGCGGAGTCGGGATGTCAAGTGCATCCGGGTCTCCCTCAGGGGTAAGCAGTACGGACACGAGATGAGGTGAAGCAGCGGCCAAGCACTGGAACTCCTCCTGCCTGTCCTCAAGGACGTCCGTGCCCAGGGCACACTCACCCCCGACGGACGGAGGACAGACAGACTCAGACTCAGCGACAAGACTAGCAGCGTAGTCTAGACGACAGCGAGCAGCAAAGTCGACGAGCTCAGCAACTAGGGCAGACGCAGCAGTGGACTCAAAAGAAGGGTCAGTGACGACAGTAGCAAGGAGACGCATGACAATAGGACTGGCAGCACGAAGAGAGTCCGACTCCGGGTCGGGAAGAGCAGGAAGAGAGGACTCAGGAGGAGAAGGCAAAGGGGCACGCAGAGGAGCAGTGGACGGACGCAGAGACATCCGGTGCGTGCCAGGGACAGGAGGAGGACGCTGACGCGAACCGCAACCACTAGTGCGAGCAGTACGGACAGGCGACGCAGGGCGAAACGTAGGCTCACGACGCTCAGCAAGACCTCCAGTAGGACCAGTGTAGGGAGAAGGAGCAGGCAGTGGGGAGGCGGGCTGTAACTGTAACCGTGACTGGACAGGCTGTGGACACTCGAAGGGAGGAGGAGGACCGAGAGAAGGCGGGAGACCAAGAACCTGCTGAAGGAGCGGAACGAAGTACGGCCGCTGCCGTGCAGCGACTCCAGAACCAGCAGAGACACCAGCGCCAGGTTCCTCCGCACCAGCAGCAGCTCCAATGCCCGACTCCACAGCACCAGCAGCAGCACCAGCTCCAGGGTCCTCAGCACCAGCAGCAGCTCCAACGCCCGGGTCCTCAGTACCAGCAGCAGCTCCAACGCCCGGGTCCCCAGCACCAGCAGCAGCACCAGCGTCCGGGTCCGCAGCACCAGCCGCATCTCCAACGCCTGGGTCCGCAGCACCAGAAACAGCCCAACCTCTGGGGCCGCATCACCAGCAGAACCAGTAGAGTCTCCAGCACCAGTAGCACCACCAGCAGCAGCGGGGTCCGCGACACCAGGCGCGCCACTCCGAAGAGTGCAGCGCCGCTCGTACCTCTCACGGATCAGCTCACGGGAGGGGAGCTCCCGGCTAGGAGGAGAAGCACTAGCACCAGTCCCAGTAGTACGCCTGGCTCCGGAGGTACCTCTCCTGAGGCTGCAGTACTGGAAGTACCACTCACGCAGCTGCTCCGACGAGAGGGCTCCGCCAGGTGTAGGACCCTCAGGCTCAGGACCTCCAGACTCAGAACCCCCAGAAACTGGACTCTGCGGCTCAGCACCCCCAGGCTCAGTACTCCCAGACTCAGCACCCCCACGCTCCGCACCCCAAGGCTCAGCACCCCCAGGCTCCGCACCCCCAGGCTCCGCACCCCCAGGCTCCGCACCCCCAGGCTCCGCACCCCCAGGCTCAGCACCCCCAGGCTCAGCACCCCCAGGCTCAACACCCCTATCGCGGACAAAAGCTCGAGATCCCCAGACCCGGAAACGCGACGCATCGCCAACCTCCCCCGTCCACAGCAGTGTGGGTGAGGTCTCCGGCAAGGAGACACGGGGCCAGAGGTTGAGCTAATGCGCAGCGTACCGGACCGCAAACGGCCACAGAAAGTGGGGGGCAGCCGCATGGATCAAGGAGGTACGGGCGACCTCCATGACCAGGCCAATGCGGCGCTCTGCAATCCCATTCTTCTGTGGAGAGGCCGGAAGCGTGAACGACTGCTCAATGCCGTGCTCAGCACAGTAGGCTGCCAAGAGGTCGGAGGAGAACTCACCACCTCTGTCAGAGTGCAAGCGCAGGACAGGAAAGTCCGAGTGGAAATGCTCGCTGAGCTGGAGACGGGCTCTGCGGATCCAAGGGATCAAGACATCAGGGACCTCACCCTTGGTGCGCAAGGGGAAGACCGTGGTGTAGCGCGAGTAATCGTCAACAACTATCAGGAAGTACCTCTCCTGACCCTGACCACGGACGCGGGCTGGGCCCCACACGTCCATGTGGAGCGTCTGCAAGGGAGCAGTCGTCGGGGGAAACGAGGAGGAGTGAGGAGCGGCGCGCTGCCGCCCCTCAACACAGGGAAGACAGGGAGGAGCAGGTGAGGGAGGGAGGGGAGGAAGGACCCTGGGAAGGCCATAGACAAGGTATCGGGAGTGCATGGCACGAAGGCGCTGCACAGACGGGTGGCCAAGGCGGTGGTGCCAGAGGACAGTCTCATGTGCCAAAGAGCGACACGAGCAGGGGGCTGGTAGCTGACCTGACGCGGACGCAGACGCAGACGCAGCGACCTGAGGGGACTCAGTGGTCAGTGTGTACAGGTCCGACCCCGGCTGCCGAGTGAAGGTAGCCAAGTGACGGCCCGTACGAGCACACGTGTAGTGTGTCACTCGCTCGTAGGCAGGGATGAACTGGTGAACACCCCCGTCCTGGAGCGCACATCCTGCCACCAGGTTCGTAGAGAACGAGGGGAGGTGGAGACCTGACAGTATGCCCGACGGGACCGCAGGACAGGGGAGGACAGTGGAGGAGGTCGTAATGACCGGACCCCCAGAGGGGTCAGCGAGGGAGACAGCAACTGGCCAAGCAAGCGGCTCAAGGGCAGTGCAGTCACGAAAGAAGCAGCGAGAAGCACCTGAGTCCAGTGTGAAGGTGTGCAGTGCTCAGTCGACTCAGTACCAGGGGGGGCAGACGCACAAGCACCTAGAGCAGCTGCCTCACCAGCACCTGGGGTAGCGGACACGCGAGTACCTGGAGCGGCAGACGCACTAGTCCTAATGCCCAGGTCGGGCGGCACACACAGGTACTCAGCACCCTCTCCACTAGTAGACATCACATACATAGCAGTGAGAATAGCATCAAAGTCTAGAGCATAGATATCAATCCCCTTCTTCAAGAGATCAACCCAGCGGGGCAGCTCAGTGGCCTGAGGGAACTGAACACGCCAAGCGTCGTTGAGACGAGCAAAGCAGCGCTGTGTGGCGTGCGGTCCCCCACACGGCTGACCAGTGCGGTCACCAGTGCGAATGACGTACGTGCAGCTAAAGCCACCCCCCCCCCCCCCCCCCCGTGCTGAGAGTACCACTCACGGACCTCCTGGGGCGACGGAGTGTGCTGCTAGCTCTGGCCACCGCCAGCGCCTCCACGACCACCACCGCCGCCGCCACCTCCTCGACCACCCCAACCCCTGCCGCCGCCGCGTCCACCGCCACCCCCACCACCGCCTCCGCCCCTGCCACCTCCCCCGCCGCTGCCGCCACCACCCCCACCGCTGCCACTAGCCCCTCCAGTCGCGCCACCACCCCCACCGCCGCCACCGCCCCCACCACCGCCTCCCTCGCTGTCACCGCCACCGCCCTTGCCCCCTTTGCCCTTGCCGCTGCGGCGCGCGCTCGAAGCAGACGCAGTCCCGACCTTCTCAGCACCAAGGAGGTCGACAGCAGCAGCAGAGGCGACAGAGGGAAGAAGGGGGGAAGGAGAACACCCCTCAAAGAATGGGGTACGGGGGTCGCCACGAGAGGCACCTACAGCGACTATGCTAGCCTCAGCTGCAAGGAGTTCCTTCTCGAGGAGGGCAATGGTGAGCTCAGTGGGGCAGCGAGCTAGGAAGTGGTCCCTCACTGAGCGCAGAGTGTCAGAGAGGCGGGTGACTAGGTGGTAGAGAGTGAGCCAGAGTGGGGGTGGGTTCTTGGCAAGGAACTCATCAGGCATGGCGGCGCGGAAGCGAGCCTCACTAGTGCGGAGGTGCGTAATGAGGTCAGCGACTGTGTGGAAAGAGGCTAAGTCAGGGAACAGGTAGGGAAGAGAGAGACGGCCTAGTGCGGCAGAGGCCGGTGAGGAGTAGCGCGCAACGACAGCAGTGTACAGTGCCTGTGCAGTCTTGTGCTGCCCAAAGTGCTCGCGCTCATCTATCGGCAGGGAGTTGCGAATAGCGAAGCGAGCGTGGGCGTCATGAGTCTGCCACTGTGAGCGGGCACTGCTGTCAGCAGTAGCAGCAGGAGCAGGAGCATGGCCTAGGGCGTGATCGTACAGTGAGATGTCCTCCTTGGCAGTGAGCTGTAGGAAGAGGTGTAGGTCATCTAGCCAGGTTTCGAACTTCACTGGGCGGCCCTCAGCATCGAAAGCCAGCACAGGAGGGCTAGCCATAGCAGTAGTAGGAGTAATAGCAGTAGGGGCACCCCAAAAACAGTAGGTAGTGCGACTCAAGTAGGGCGGCTCGGTCCAGTACGGGCGGCGCGGCTCGGTTCAGGTAGGGCGGCGCGGCTCGGGAAGGGCGGCGCGGCTAGGTTCGGGCGGCGCGGCTCGGTTTGGGCTGGGCGGCTCGTTTCGAGCGGCTCGGTTCGGGCAGCTCGGTTCGGGCGGCTCGGTTCGGGCGGCTCGGTTCGGGCTGGGCGGCTCGGTTCGGGCTGCTCGGGTCGGGCGGCTCGTTCTGGGGGGGCGGTTCGGGGCCTCTAGGGGCGAGCGCGGGGCGGTAAGGGGCCGCTAAGGGCGAGCGCGGGGCCGATCGGGGCCTCTAGGGGCGAGCGCGGGGCCGTAAGGGGCCGCTAAGGGCGAGCGCGGGGCCGTTCGGGGCCTCTAGGGGCGAGCGCGGGGCCGTAAGGGGCCGCGAAGGGCGAGCGCGGGGCCGTTCGGGGCCTCTAGGGGCGAGCGCGGGGCCGTAAGGGGCCGCTAAGGGCGAGTGCGGGGCCAACGGGGGCCTCTAGGGAGGTGAGCGCGGGGCCAACGGGGCCGTTAGGGGCGATCGCGGGGCCGACAGGGTCGCTAAGGGGCGAGCGCGGGGCCGTAACGGGCGAGCGCGTGGGCCGACGGGGCCTTAAGGGGCGGCGCGCGAGTCGCTAAGGGGCGGGTCGCGGGGCCTTAGGGGGCCGTGAAAAACGAGGCGCCCTAGGGCGCAGTTAGGTAGGTAGGTAGGTAGGTAGGTAGTGGTGGGCCCTAAAAAAACGGTCCTAGCGAACGACCTGCTCTATACCATGTTGAAATGAACGATCAGGAATGGTTGAACTAACAGTGAAATCAGTACAAGTACCTAGCCCTAGAATTGTGTACCCCCTATAGGCTAACCCACTGTAGCCTAAACAAGCACAACATATATAATGTTTGACAAAGCTGATATGGGCAACGCACGCCGTGCTCTCAGGGACTATCTTGTCAAGCAAGGTGTTTCTCACGCCACCCAGCTTTGAGGGGGGGACGTGTGAGAGTATGACGGCTTATGCTGGCTTTGCTAGCTTGCCTGGACTTTATTATGCTATATCTAGCTTGGGTTTATTTTATCATGCATAGATATGCTTCATTTCATTGGTTAGGTGCATTCTAATATTTTATTATAGTTATAGCACTGAACCAGGTTACGTGTACCGAACTGAAGCCTATTCGGTTTCCACCGAATTGCTTTCTACTGAGTTCAGGAAGGTTCTGTTCGGGGCGCTTCGCGACCCTCAGAACATTCGCGTAACACCTGGGTAACTAGCCTTGTGTCAAGACTATATATAGCCTCGTGTTGTACCCAGGTAAATCATTCAATTCAAACTCTCTTTTCTGAGCTCGATCCTAGATCCTCACAAACCCACTATAGCCTAGAGATAACACAAACATACAGTTTGACACACCCCCATAGGCTAAGTGGGAGATAGCAAACACAACCGAGAGTCACAAGACCAGTGAGGCAAGAGAACAAAGCAAAGCAAAGCCCATCGTGGATCACAAGGTCACCACGCATTCTGAGCACAAGCAAGCGGCCACAAGGCCAGTTCACATGCAGAGTTATAATAGCAAGGCAGTACACTGATCATAACCTAGCAAAAGTAAACAAGCAGGTATAAAGACATCTATCAGTGTACAACAAGAGCAAGTCAAGCAACCAGCAGGTGAGGCAGAGTGGGCACAAGCCCAAGAGCTGTGCGAAACCGCTGATGATCACCAAACCCTAGGACCTTGGTGAAGGCATTAGTAGTGTTGGCCCGAGAGGCCACGTAAGCAAGGCGCAGCTGACCACGCTTCTGCAGCTCACGCGCAAGGAAGTAACGAAGAGCAATGTGCTTCATTCTGTGCTCCAGTCTCTGCTCGCGACACAAGGCAAGCATTGCCTTGTTGTCGACGTACAGAACTGGAGGAGAACGAGCGGCTCCCCCAAGTCGGTCAGCAGGTAGGTCAGCCAGTGTAGCTCCTGTGCAGCCATGGCCCCAGCGTAGATCTCGACCTCGCAGCTGGAGCCACGTACAGAAGAAGAACGAGCGGACCTCCACGAGACAGAACCAGAGCCAAGACCGAAGGTGTAACCCTGTGACGAACGCTGAGTCACCTGGTCGTCGGCCCAAGAAGCGTCAGAGTGTCCTGTGAGGACCACTGAACCCTGTCCTCCAAGCACGAGCCCCATGCCCGATGTACTGCACAAGTAACGCAGTACCCTCTTCGCAGCATCAAAGTGCACCTTTCGGTGTCTACCGGGTGCCACGTAGTGAGCCAGGAGGCTGAGAGGGTACGCGAGGTCAGGTCGTGTGCACGTCATCAGGTACATGAGGCAACCCACAAGCTCTGGGTATGGACCACTCGGCTCTACGGACTCGTCCGAAGGTGGAGCTGAGAGCGAGTGGCCGGTAGACAGAGGAATGGGCTGCGGCGAGGACCACGAGCAGCCGAAGCGCTAAAGGACCTGCTACACCATGTGTGACTGAGTGAGGGTAATAGTGCGCCGTGGTCTATCCCGGGTGATCTGCAAGCCAAGATAGCTCGGCAGCTCACCCAGGTCAGTGCAGACGTGTCTCTCCTGCAGCTCCACCTTCACTGGGGCCAGTGCCTCAGTGTCAGCAGTAGCAAAAACCAAGTCGTCGACGTACACGAGGATGTAGAACGGCGGCAGAGTAGTGTCGGTGCAAAAAAACGACGGGTCAGCAGTCGAAGGAGCAAACCCAAGAGCCGCAAGTGTCGTCCTCAGTGTGTCGTGCCACTCGCGGGGCGCCTGACGCAGGCCGTAGTTTAGTCGACGTAGGCTCCACTGGGTACCCTCAGGAAACGACCCAGTGAAGCCCTCTGGATGGCGCAACTAGATGGCCTCGTGAAGGCTACCCTGTAGGAAAGCTGTAGAGAAGTCGAGGGAGTGCAGCTCGTAGTCGCGCTGAGCTGCAACGTGCAGCAACACCCGAAGAGTGGTCATCTTCGGGGTAGGGGAGAAGGTCTGAAAGAAGTCGCTCTCTGCACGCTGACTGAAGCCTCGAGCAACGTAACGTGCCTTGTAGGCAGGCGGAGAACTTGGCAGCCGCTTCAATATGAAAATCCACATGCCACTGACAATGTTCGCCCCTGGTGGGGGAACCTCGTCGACGTAGGTGCCTGCGGACTTCCAGGAAGCCATCTCTGCGTCCATGGCTGTCTGCCACTGCGAGGAGTACTCACCTGAAATCGCCTCTCTGTAAGAGCGCGGGGTGGGGATGTCAAGTGCATCCGGGTCTCCCTCAGGGGCAAGCAGCATGGTCGCAAGATGGGGTGAAGCGGCCGCAAGGCACTCCAGCTCCTTCTGCCTGTCCTTAAGAACGTCACAGCCAAGGGCAGTACAGCCAAGGGCAGTACAACCAAGGGCAGTCTCACCCCCGACGGACGAAGGATAGGTAGGGACAGGGTCAGAAACAAGGCTCGCAAGGTAGTCTAGGCAGTACACAGCAGCAAAGTCAACGAGCTCACCGACTAAGGCAGACGCTGTAGAAGACGAGAACGAAGGGTCAGTCACCACCGTAGCAAGAAAGTGAGTAACAGACGGACTGGACGCACGAGCAAGGTCAGATGGAGGGTCAGCAAAGTCAGGAAGAGAGGACGTAGGAGGTAACGGGAGGACAACACGCTATGGAACAGAGGAAGGACGGAGTGTCATATCGTGAGTGCCTGGGACAGCTGGAGCACGCTGAGGACGAACATGAGAAACACGAGTACGGACAGGGGCTCTAGGCTCAGGCTCAAGGTCAAAGCTAGACTCAGGCTCTCGACGCTCAGGGGTGGAAGCACGAGTCTCAGGCTCTCGACGCTCAGACACGGACTGTGTCACCGCAGTGTAAGGAGTAGGAGCAGGCAGTGGGGAGTGCGGTAGCAGCGGCGGCTGAGACTGGTCGGCCGGTGGAAACAGTAACGGAGGAGTAGTACCTGCCACAGGGAAGTCAGTAGCACGTGGCGGAAGACTGAGAAGGTGGCGAAGAGCACCAGCAGCTCCCGTACCTCCAGCACGAGCAGCACCAGCACCTCCAGCACCTCCAGCACCACTAGCTCCGGCAGCTCCAACACCTCTAGCACCAGCAGTTACTCCAGCATCTCCAGTGCCAGCAGCTCCAGTAGCACCTCCAGCACCTCCAGCACCGGTAGTACCACCTGCTCCGGTCGCTCCAGTACCTCTGGTACGAGTACCTCGAGGACCCGTAGCTCCAGCTCCATCGCCTCCAGCACCAGCAGTACCTCCAGCACCTCCAGTGCCAGCAGCTCTAGAAGCACCTCCAGCACCTCCAGCACCAGCAGTACCACCTACTCCGGCAGCTCCATCACCTCTAGTACAAGCACCTCCAGGACCAGCAACTCCAGCACCTCCAGTACCTCCAGCTCTAGCGCCTCCAGCACCTGCAACACCAGCACCTCCAGGGTCAGCAGCTCTAGTAGTACCTCCAGCACAAGCAGCACCACCAGGACTAGCAGCTCCAGTACCTCCAGCACCAGCAGCAGCTCCAGTACCTCCAGCAGTACCTCCAGGACTGGCAGCTCTAGCACCTCCAGCACCAGAAGCACCTCTAGTATCTCCAGCTCCAGGACCTCCAACAGGGTCACCCACAACTCCACCGCCACTAGGACTCGCAACACCCCCAGAGTCAGCACCCGCAGTCGCAGCACCTCCAGAACCCTCACCCTCTGTCTCATCACGTAGGCTGCAGAGTCTACAGCAGTAGGCTGCGGAGGGGGCGAAGACGGTCGAGGCGGAAAACCCGGGGGGGTCTCCAAGCGTGGAGAGCGGCGAGTGGCCGCCGTGTCGTCCGCAACTGGGTCACCCCCCTCAGCTGGGCCAGCGGAGTCAGAAGAGATCTCCACAGGCTCATCCAAGGGGGGTGGGTCAACCTGAGACACATGTGAGGGAGCAGGACCCAGTGGGGGGAGGGGGTCTACCCGGGGGGGGACTG